ATTATTATTATTATTATTATTATTATTATTATTATTATTATTATTATTATCCTAAGAAGATTATTGCAGTTTTCATCAGTTTATAACTTAAGTTACAATCTTGCATATAATATCCTACAAGTAAGCTGCCTTAAATACAATTGGATAAACTCTTGGATAAATATTCATAGGATTATGTTATATTAAAAACATATTTAGCACATAGTGGAGGAGGCTGAGTTATGCCTGTCCTACATGACATGAAGTAAATGAAAGATCTGTAAAAACACAGAATGTGAGTTTTGTAAAAAAAAATAAAAATAAAAAATATGGATTGATTTTCAGCTCTGTAGCCAAAGCCCAGAGCAGGATATATACAAAACTTAAAATTGAAAAATCCAGTGTGAAAATAAATTCATTTGAACCTGAATAAGAAAAACATTGCTTTCTGATATTACATTGAACGTGCTTTCACACTTCAAACCCTTTTAAAATAGAAGAAAATTAAACGTATCCAGGTACATATCAGATTCCATACATACATTGCCTGATTCATAGCTCACATCAAATATTTTACACACATTGATCTTATCTTTTGCCTGAGTTAATTTCTTTGTAGAATTCTTCATAACATTTTCGTTCTTAGAGTTGCCCTACACACCTTAAGTGATTTCTTCTGTTTGGTAAGTACAAACTATGCTCCTGTAAAACCAATTGCCAGCCAAGCATTTGCCATTGTGTAAAGTATGTCTTTTAATCATTCATACCAATGATGCTTTGAAATTAGAAGTTTTGGCTCTCATAAATATTCTACAAAATCTCTTCCCAGTTCTTTATTTTTAGCGTGAGGGACTTTCCCATCAGATAGGTAAACGTTTGACACTATTTATGAATGTTCTCAGCTTTGATACCTATATGTCTTATAAATCTGCTTCAATATGTAAGGTGTCAAGGGTTATTGATATACATTTTGGCATATGATTCCCATTTGCCTCTGTTGAGCCTACAGGTTGTTGGAGTTAAGAGAAGCACAATTCTAATTGAAGAACTCTTAGTCATATTTACCTTGGTGTAAGTTTTATGTATTTCAGTGAGCTTTAGTTCTGAATAGACCTGTATCATCCTGAACTTGCTAGTTTCAGAGGAATTTATTTTAAGTAAATGTGTTCAGAATCATTAGAATGTTGTAACTTAGGGATACCCAAGCAATGTTTTGTTCCAGTGAAGGAGAATGCATAGGTGATAGTTTTAATTAATCCTATCAAGCCAGTGAAATTGCAATGCAGGACTGGATTTCTAAATGTGCATTTCCTACATCAAGGGTGAAGAAGCTTGCACAAGAACGATAATGTATTGTGTCACAAATTGCTGGAGCAGATGGGTTGTGCCCCTGTAGGAAATTGGGATGTTCAAGCTTGCACACTAGTTGCTCTGTATCCTGGAGGGTGTCAGTTCTCTGTTTCTCTAGCCCTCCTTCTAGACTGAAGTGATAGGCCACAATATAACACAGGACTCAACATACTTTAAACACATTTTACTGAGTTCATCTGGATATTAACCTACTGGTGTCTGGAAATACATTGAATGAGAAAGAAGATGAAGATTTTGGAATTTTTGGTCATACTTCTGTCTGTGCATCTATCTCTTCCTTTTGCAATCATTTATGATAATGGTAAACTTTTGTTGAAACATACTCTGAAGAAAATGAGTTTTCTTTGTACCATAAGGGAATAACCCGGTAGTTGATCTTAATGTTGTCATTTTTACCTCTAAACTAATGCAAGTTGAGCCATAACCTGGCACAAAGTAATGCTGAACATGTTTACAATGAGGATGCACAAGAGCATCCTAATTTTTTTATTCATGATTTGGAAGAACTTGTCCCCTTTCTAAGAATGTGGTAGTGAATCATAAATTTGTATTCTTTCTTTCTTTCTTTCTTTCTTTCTTTCTTTCTTTCTTTCTTTC